CCCCCCCCCCAACTCCGCCGCCGCGGCGCGCCCTCCCCCCACCCCCGGCCCGGCCCCGGGAGCTCGGGCCGAGTCGTGGACGTGACTGGGAGGAGTCTGCCCGCCTCGGGTTTCCGAGCTCGGCCGCGGCCATGGCGGAGCCCACGGTGTGCTCCTTCCTCACCAAGGTGCTGTGCGCCAACGGCGGCCGCATGTTCCTGCCAGACCTGCGCGGCCACGTGGAGCTCTCGGACGCCCGGCTCCGGGACGTGCTGCGCCAGGCCGGGCCCGACCGCTTCCTGCTGCAGGAGGTGGAGATGAGCGAGGGCCTCTGGGACGCCGAGGCCGAGGTGGCGGCCGGCGCGGGCGGCGCGGGCGGCGGCGGCGGCCCCTGCGCCTGGCGGGTGGTGGCCGTGTCCTCCGCGCGCCTCTGCGCCCGCTACCAGCGCGGCGAGTGCCAGGCCTGCGACCAGCTGCACCTCTGCCGCCGCCACATGCTGGGCAAGTGCCCGAACCGCGACTGCTGGTGAGGCGGGCGGCGGGGCAGCGGGGCCCCCGGCAAAGGAGCGGAGGGATCGCTCGTTCGGGGGTGCGCCCCGCCCCCTCCCTCTGCCGTCGGGGGGCGGCAGGGAAGCCCCGGGAAGGGGCCCCCGCGTGGTGGGGGAGGGGGCTCCCCGCGCTTCCAGCTCCTGTGCGGAGGGAGGCCGGAAGTCGTCTCGATCGCGGTGTCTTCACTGCTGCTCGCCCCCCAGATTCCAGCCCCTGCCCGCGGAATCGTCCACACCGCTGCCGAGGGAAACCCGGGTTGGGACTTTTGAGTTCGTTTACTCCAGTGGCCCTACTGGGGGGCTTTTGGGGATCCGTGAAGTTGACGGACTCAATGCCCTTCCCCTTTCCACGTAACCTCAAAGTTTTACCCAAGTGAAAAAAAAAAAAGGGGGGGGGCGCCTGGGTGGCTCAGTCGGTTAAGCGTCCGACTTTCGCTTAGGTCATGATCTCACGGTTCGTGGGTTCGAGCCCCGCATTGGGCTCTGTGCTGACTGCCAGCTCAGAGCCTGGAGCCTGTTTCAGTCTGTGACTCCCTCTCTCTCTGACCCTCCTCTGCTCACGCTGTCTCTCTCTCTCAGAAATAAATAAAACATTAAAAAAAAAAAGTTTTACCCAAGTGACTGTGCCCACCAGGTTTAGAAAGCCCGATCTGGAATGACCCCCAGGAAACTGAGGGCGGTGTTTTGAGGCTGCTTCCTGCCTCTGGTCTTCCTTCCTTTACAGCCGGCTCCCCAAAGCGGGGCGGGGGGCACACTTTCCTCCTAACGTTGGTGTGGACTGTGAGGGGGTGGGCAGCCGTTTGGGGGTGGAGAAGGCAAGTGCAGTCAGTCACCTTCAGAACAACAGAAGGCATCCTCGCCAAGGCTGGCCACTGGTGGAGGGGTGCCTTTGGCTTTAAGGCCAAAGTGACCTTGGTAGGAGAGTTGCTTCAACTCAACTTTCTTATTGTCAGTGCTTACTTACTAGGCTGTAGTATCTATGGATTCATGGGAAGTTGTTGAGCTTCACATGTGAGTCGAAAGCGGCTGTAGGCCAGGAATTGGGCGGACCGGCTCCTTCACCTGCGCCTCTGATCCAGAGTTCTCTGTTTTCCTAGGTCTACCTGTACCCTTTCCCATGATATCCACACACCTGTTAACATCCAAGTTCTGAAAAACCATGGGCTTTTTGGCCTCAATGAGGCCCAGCTTCGGATCCTGCTTTTGCAAAATGACCCATGCCTTTTACCAGAGGTGAGTTACCAAGAATTCATCCTCATACCGAATGCTCGATGAAAGATGTCAGGGGAGACATCAAAAGTCGGGTCGCAGAGGACAGATAGATGGGTGGAGGTTATGGTGCAGTGCTGACCTTTATGCAGTCTCCTGTGAATTTACCAGGCTTTGATCCACAAGGAGTGACGGACATGTGTGGTAAGGAAATAAAGAAAGCGACTACTAGTTTATTTTATTTTAATTTTTTTTTGAGAGAGAGATAGCAAGTGGGAGAGTGCAGAGAGAGAGGGGGAGATGGAGAATCCCAGCTCTTTGGTGTTTGAGAGATCTCAGACTCACAAACTCCATAAGCTCATGACCTGAGCTGAAACCAAGAATTGTAGGTTTAACCACCTGAGCCACCCAGGCACTCCTGGCTACTAGGTTTTTGATTGCTTACCGAATGCTAAGTGATTCAAATATCTTAGCTCATTAATGACCTGTCCCCATTTTATAGGTGAGGAAACACTAACTATATTAACTTGCTCAAAGTCACATAGTTTATAGCAGATTGGAATTTATGTCTGTCTATAAAGCCTGGGTTTTGTGAATTGCCTGTTTATGCTTTTGCTTATTTTTCTATTGAGGCATTTGTTTTCCTGCTAATTTATAAGATGTTATTTTTTAAAAATTTAAAAAATGTTTTATTAGGGGTGCCTGGGTGGCTCAGTCGGTTAAGCATCCAACTTCAGCTCAGGTCATGATCTCACGGTTCGTGGGTTCGAGCCCCGCATCAGGCTCTGTGCTGACAGCTAGTTCAGAGCCTGGAGCCTGCTTCAGATTCTGTGTCTCCCTCTCTCTCTGACCCTCCCCTGCTCATGCTATCTCTCTCTCTCTCTCAAAAATAAATAAAATATTTAAAAAAAATGTTTTATTATTTATTTTTGAGAGAGAGAGAGAGGCAGAGCAGAGTGGGTAGGGGCAGAGAGAGAGGGAGACAAAGAATCTGAAGCAGCTCCAGGCTCTGAGCTGTCTGCAGAGCCAGACGTGGGGCTTGAACTCATGAACCATGAAATCATGACCTGAGCCAAAGTCAGACACTTAACTGACTGAGCCATCCAGGCACCCCAGATGTCATTTTTTAAAAAAGTTTATTTATTAGTGGGGGAGCACATAAGTGGAGGAGATGCAGAGAGAGAGACAGAGAGGGAGGGAGGGAGGGAGTGAGAGAGAGAGAGAGAGAGAGAGAGAGGATCCCAAGCAGGCTCCATGCTTTTAGTGCAGAGCCCAACTCAGAGCTTAAACTCATGAAACTATGAGGTCATGACCTGAGCCCCAGTCAAGAGTCAGACATTTAACCAACTGAACCACCCAGGCGCCCCTGTAAGATGTCTGTAACGATACAAGTCCCTTTTTGTGGCCACGTTTGTTGAAAGGGTTCCCCCCCCCATTTACTTTCTTGGGGCTTTAGATACCAATTGTAATTGCTCTGAAGTGATTTAGTTCCAAGCGTTTAAGAAGCGCCTATTAGAACTGCTCTCATGGCGAAATTAGCGTATTATACCTGTTTAGCCACACACGAAGACTTTTTAAAAACAAAATAGTTGGAACCCCAAAGAAAATATTATGAGAGCCCACCAGTGAAAAGTAGAATTTTCCGCTCTAGCACACCGATGCCATCGTGGACACTCAAGTTGCCAGAAGAGGGGTGGGGGGTGGGGAGAAGGGAGGATGCTGGGAAACCGGAGGATCGTTCGGGACTGTGGTGCCCTGTTAATGCTAAGGTATTTCGGGGCCGAGAAGGGAAGGAAGTCCCCAGGCTCCGATGGCAAAGGCTGCCCTCAAGGCAGTAGAATCTGTACACGGAAGGCAGCCCTGGAGGCAGCCTTACGCGCCACCCACTTCATCCTTGACATCCATCTCCTCTCTCACTTCTTCGGGCCTTGAAGCCAGACTTGGACAGTCATGGTTATAAGCCAGATGCATTCCAAGCGTGTTGCCAGAAGGACCCCGAGCCGCAGCTGTTGGCAGGAAGGGAGAGGAGAGCGGCAGCAGCCGGGTCCAGTCCTCTCAGAGACAAGGGGCGGTGACACTTCTAGTGACCTGTTAGTTTTTACGATGTTGTTTGACTTACAGAAGTTCAAGTTGGTTACATTGTTTAACTTATTGAGCCGGTTTCTGTATGGCTTCTGCCTGCTGTGCTGGGCCCAGCTTCATCTTGTCACACCGACGCCTGCACAGCTTTGTGAGCAGCCCGTGGGCCTTAGGACAGGAGCCCAGCCCCGCCCCTGTCACCCAGCACTGCAGGTGTGTATCCTGTGGCACACGGCGTGGCCACTTAGGTAGCGGGGACCGTGGACAGGCACACAGAGGAGTCAGGAGTGGTGCCTCACATCTCTCGTACGGAAACGCCTCTGACCCTCTGACCGCTTTCCACCACTCTCCTGAAGACACAGTACGTAGTAACATACACCACGTGTTGTGAGCTTGTGGTTATAATGATAAATATGTTTGGTCTTCATCCGCATTCCTGACATGGAGCTTCTAGAGCCCTTGGAATCTCGTCTTGCTGAGAACTCTAAGGTGGCCGTTGTTCGCGATTTTTGGAAAACCCCTAGGGAGCCTCAGGGCAGGAACTGGTTGTCAGGAGAACCAATCTCCTGATTGTATGTAACCTTCTCTTAACACTTTTTTTTAAAAGTTTATTTATTTATTTTGAGAGAGAGAGACTGTGTGAACAAGGGAGGGAGAGAGAGGGTCCCAAGCAGGCTCCACGCTGTCAGCGCGGAGCTCCACCCCACAAACTGAGATCACGACCTGAGCCGAGACCAAGCCAAGACCACCCAGGCTCCCCTTCCCCACCCCTCCCACCTCCTGGGAGGGCAGAGGGCTAGGCGTGGAGTTCATAAACCAGTGGCCTGTGATTGAATCGATCATGCCAATGTTATGAAGCTTCCGTAAGAAGCCAAAAGGACAGACGTACAGAGAGCGTCCAGGCTGGTGAGCACATGAGGGTTCTGGGAGAGGGGGGCCCAGGAGAGGGTTTGGAAGCTCCACACCTTTTCTCCCCTTACCTTTCCACAGCCATCTCTTCTACCTGCGCGTGCCTGAGTTATATCCTTTTATTTATTTATATATATATATTTTTTAAATTTTTTAATGTTTTATTTCTAGGAGAGAGAGAGACAGCATGAGCAGGGGAGGGTCAGAGAGAGAGGGAGACACAGACTGAAACAGGCTCCAGGCTCTGAGCTGGCAGTCAGCACAGAGCCTGACGCGGGGCTCGAACCCACGGAACCGTGAGATCATGACCTAAGCGAAAGTCGGATGCTTAACCGACTAAGCCACCCAGGCGCCCCGTTATATCCTTTTATAATAAACTGGTCATCTGGGTTCTGTGAGCTGTTCTGGCACATTAACCAGAGGAGGGTGTGGTGAGGGCCTTTATAGCAGTTCAGGCAGCAGCAGATGGGCGTTTGAAGTGGGACAGCCTCGTGGGACTGAGCCCTTAACCTGTGGGATCTGACGCTACCTCCAGGGAATATTAGGATGGAGTTAAAATCCGTGGGTCACCCAGTCATTGTCTTCTGAGAATTACTTGGTGATGTTGAAAGAAACACACATTGGAAATATGTACAATGTGATACTGATACATTCGAAACCTTCAATGAAGTAGACACATTTCTAGAAAAAATATCGCTCATCAAAACTGTTTCCAGGCGCCTGGGTGGCTCAGTCAGTCGAGCATCTGACTCTTGGTTTCCGCATAGGTCATGATCTCACAGTTTGTGGGTTCAAGCCCCGCATCAGGCTCTTCACTGACAGTGTGGAGCCTGCTTGGGACTCTCTCTCGCTCCCTCTCTCTCTGCTCCTCTCGTGCTCACTCTCTCTTTCTCTCAAAAATAATAAATAAAATAAACATTAAAAAAAACTGTTTCAAGAAAATACAGAAAGCCAGATAGTGTTTATTTTTTAACAACAAAAGCATTAAGATACAACATTTAAGGGTGCCTGCGTGGCTCAGTCAGTTAAGTGACTGACTCTTGATTTTGGCTCAGGTCATGATCTCAGTTTGTGAGATTGAGCTCTGAGTTGGGCTCTGCACAGCGTGGAACCTACTTGGGACTCTTTCTCTCCCTCTCTCTCTGTCCCACCCTCCCAAATAAATATTTTTTTAAAAAAAGAAAAAAATTTAAACCCCACAAAACCACAGTATTAGTTAAAAAGTCTTCTACAAGAAAATATTAGGCTCATACAGTTTTATTGTTGAGTCTATCAAATCTTTAAGGAATAGGTTATTTTTATTTGGGGGTTGGGGTTAGGATCTCTTTTTCTTGATCTCCCATACATGCTCGAACCAGTATCATACTGTTTTATTAAGGTAGTTTCTATTTTAATATATGATGGTCCAAAGTCCCATTGTACTTCTTTTTCAAAAGTGTTTCCTCGGGGCGCCCGGCTAGCTCAGTCGGTGGGGCATGTGACTCTTGGTCTCAGGGTTGTGAGTTCGAGCCCCACGTTGGGTATAGAGATTACTTAAAAATAAAATCGTAAAAAAAAAAAAAAAGAAATTGTTTCTCTTATCAGTTGCCTTAAATGGCAGTGACAACAAATGTGTCAGGTGTTGCCTCATTGCTGTTGTAGGTGTGTTTACTGTACAACAAAGGGGAAGCACTGTACGGCTACTGCAACATGAAGGAGAAATGCAACAAGTTTCACGTGTGCAAGTCCTTTGTCAGAGGGGAGTGCAGGCTTCAGAAATGCAAACGGTCCCATCAGCTCATTCACGCTGCATCCCTGAAGCTGCTGCAGGACCAAGGACTGAGTATCCCAAGTGTCGTTAATTTTCAGATCATCTCTGCCTACAAGCACATGAAGCTGCACAAGATGCTTGAGAACCAAGGTGAGAATATCAGAGAGAGAGCACTATCAACGCGTAGTTTTGACCAGAAAGTGAGTCTGGGAGGATAGCCCCTCATATTGTTAAATTTTGCTCTATTCTTGGGGAGGACCACCAGTATTTTCTGATGGAGAATTGAGGTTCTTTTTCTTTTTTTGAAGTTTGTTTATTTATTTATTTAAATGTTTTTATTTATTTCTGAGAGAGAGAGACAGCATGAGCAGGGGAGGGTCAGAGAGAGAGACACACACACACACACACACACACACAGAATCTGAAACAGGCTCCAGGTTCCGAGCTAGCTGTTAGCACAGAGCCCGACGCAGGGCTCGATCCCACGAGCTGTGAGATTAGGACCTGAGCCGAAGTCGGACGCTTAACTGACTGAGCCACCCAGGTGCCCCTAAAGTTTATTTCTGAGAGAGACAGAGACAGTATGAGCAGGGGAGGGGCATAGAGAGAGAATCCCAAGCATGTACTGTCAGCACAGAGCCTGATGCAGGGCTCGAACTCAAGAAACATTGAGATGATGACCTGAGATGAAACCCAAGAGTCAGACGCTTAACCGTGTGAGTCACCCAGGTGCCCCTAGAGCTATGGTTCTAACTAAAGGAAGGAAGGGACAGAGTTTACTTTCTGCGCTGCCAGCTAATAGCATCTGCCCAAGGGTTTGAATAGTGTATCTTCTTGCTAAGCTGGGGGCCAGGAAGTAGGTAAAACTGTCCTAACAGCTTTGTTAGGAAGAAAGAGGAAGGAGGTGGGCCAATCGACTAGAGAGGGAAAGAAAACATAGGAATGGATTCCTTTGTTAAATTTGAATTAAAAGTGTTTTCTTTTTATTTCTTTACTTTTACTGAGTTCGTAAACATACAGCTTTCTATTAGTTTCAGATGTACAAAATGATTGGATATTCGTATACACAGCAGAATGATCACAGCAAGTGTAGGTAATATCTGTCATCATACATAGCTACAGAGTTTGTTTTCTTGTGATGAGAACTTTTGAGAAAGTTTTTTTTTTAGTTGTTAAGAAATTTTAACCATATTACAGAAAAATTTCGAAAATAGAGCGTAGAGAAATAAATTGCATATGATTCCACTCACTTTGTCCACAATCATTGTTACCATTTATTTTGCACGTCCTTCTTTCCTGTTACTATACAAAGAGCTGTCTAGTTGTGGTCAAAAGATGCATTAGTTTCTTAAATTTTCACTTTATTCAGCATCATAAATATTTTCCCATGTTGCTGCATTGTCTATCTTTTTTTTTAGGGTCTACAAAGTGTGGTTTGGTGTACTTTTAATTACAATGCATTTGGGCTACTTATTCTGTTAGATTTGTTTATAGCTGAAAATCAGTTTCAGTGGGTGGTAGGCTTAGGAGAATTGTTGATGGGAAAACTAAATCAGCAGAGTCTCCAAGCTATTGATATGGAGTTTTCTTTTCTTTTCCTTCTTTTTAAAAAATATTTATTTATTATTAAAAATTTTTTTGGTAACATTTATTTATATTTGAGAGACAGAGCATGAGTGGGGGAGGAGCAGAGAGAGAGGGAGACGTAGAATCTGAAGCGGGATCCAGGCTCTGAGCCATCAGTACAGAGCCCGATGAGGGGCTCAGACTCAACTGTGAGATCATGACCTGAGCTGAAGTTGGATGCTTAACTGACTGAGCCACCCGAGCACCCCTTAAATGTTTACTTATTTTTGAGAGCAAGAGAGAGATGGGGGGAGGGGCAGAAAGAGAGGGAAACAGTGGATCTGAAGCAGGCTCCATGCTGACAGCTGCTCAATAGATTGAGTCACCAGGGCACTTCTTGATAACAGAGCTTTCTTCTGTTGGGATGGTAGCGGCTGACTCCCTGAGCGGGTAGTGTCAGAGGTAGTGTCAGAGGCTGTCTAGGGAAGCCTGAATGATGGCGACGATCTTCTATCCCAGGTACAGGGCCTGTCATCACCTTCCTCTGGTCTTCTTTAGTGGGTCTCTCCTAACTACAAAATAGTGATTTTCTGCTGTGTGTGTGTGTGTGTGTGTGTGTGTGTGTGTGTGTGTAAAATAAATCCGGAAGACACAAATTCTCCAAATCCAGAGTAGTGTCAGGACGTTTGTCTGAGATCTGATTAGCCGGGCCGATGCTGCCAATGAAATTAAGTGGAAAGCAATAAAAGGGGTGTCCCAGGAAAGCTCATCTCTTTTTTCTTCTTTTTAGAGAATGCAGCTTCTTCTGCTGAGCGTGCACAGGGTCTTGAGAAACCAGGAGGGCGTGTTGCCGGCGCTGCGGAGGCCAGTCCTCGGGTTCCTGGCCCCCCTCAGTCAGCCAAGAAGCCACACACAGGGAAATCTTAAAGGACATCAGTGAAATAAGAGATGTGTCCTACTGGCAAGTCTGAAAACAAAGCTTCTGTTGAGCTTGATTTGTAAGTTCATTCATTTCATCAGTTTTCAATCACGGTCGTAGTAGTACCTACCTCACAAGGTGTTATACAATTAAAGAGGACGGAATAGGGGACAGCGTCCGGTTGGGAGGTGGGGAGGGTGGCCGGGGATGCGGCTGGACATTGAGCAGGCAGAGAGGGCGGACATGAGTATGGTTGGGGTCGGTCCAGCACGCATTGTGAAGTTGGCACTTTCTGCCCGACGTCCCCAAGAGCTTTCCCCAGGCCAGCGGGAGCTCCGAAAGGACCGGGTTCTGCTGACTTGCTCTGTGCTCCACCCAGTGCTCTTCCTACGCACCCATCTACACAGTTTATGTAGTGGTAGTTATAGAATATGTGTACTTTGTACTCTAGTTTTTTCTTAACGTTTCATAAGCATCTTTCCCTATTCGCATTTTATCACGTATAATCATTTTGATGCACGGATACACTAATAGATGATCACTTACTGAACTATTCCCCTTATTCTGGGATATTTGAGTTCTTTCTAACAAATTTTTAATAGGACTTTAAAATCCTCACCAGATTGAGTTTTTAAATTTCTTCTTTTGCTTAGTCTTGTAGGTGCTAAAGGATACTGTCTTTTGGTTTGCCTTTCTTTAAGTATATCCAAGTGAGTATTTTTCTGTGTATGTTTTCCGTATGTCTTATTTTGTGCATTTTGTATTTGCCCTTCAATTCCTGGGGCCCTCCTCTGCACTGATATGGCATGGCCTTTAATGAGGTTCCTCAATTTTCACTTAAGGAGATCAGTTGTACCCGTGCTCATATGATATCCAACTCTGTGGATCCGTCCTCAGCCAGTACCACAGGGTTTATAACTTTTGAGTGCTCACCAAAGATTTCTACCTCACTCTATCTCCATTTGTTATTAAATTTGTTTGCCAAAGCCCCATTGGTATCGTTTAAACGGTATGTTGTTCATCTGTTCCTCGAAGTTGTATCCATTCTTTCTGTGGGTCTGGAGGGACCATTAGAAACCTATATACCTCACCCATTTCATGTGGACTTTATCTCCCTTCTCCCTGCCACCCCCTCCCCCAGCTTTCTGCATCCAGTTACACGTAGATGTTTGGTTCTTGGTTTCATTGAGGGGTACCACAGAGAAGCAGCATTATGAGACCTCCTGGGTTTCTTATTGTGGTATCCCCAGATGTCAGTGTGTAAAGTTTTGTTTGTTCTTAAGTTTAACTTTCCTGCGATAACAACATTTGAGAAGTAGGAACAAGGTAGTGAGTTTTTCATAAAGCTCAATTAGTATAGTTTAGAAGCATGTTTTGTCATGAAATGCTGTCTTCTCTATTGGGGAAGGTATGCAAAAACATCCTTTTCAAAGTGAGAAATTGCTGTGTGTTCGCCTAATGGATCGTAAGAGTCATGTGGTTAACCTTTTTACCATGGTTGTCCGCAACAGTCTTTCTGAAAGCCTTTCTGTTCTGCATACCTTGTTTCCTTTTTCCTAGTTCTGATTTTTCCTGGTGCTCTTTTTTTTACAAAATTATTTTTACATTTTGTTATTATTTACATTTTATCCTTTTACTATGGGTATTTTTGCTCTAAGCCATCTAAAAGTCTTTTTTTTTTTTTAAATTTTTCAATTACATTTGTTGAGCCACCTTAAGTCCTTAATGGAAAGTGTACAGTATAAATGTATATCCTGTACGTTAAGAGACTTGGTGGACTTTTACAGTATTGTGTTTTTTTCATACATCTTCTAGTTATGCTTTTATGTGCCGTTATTAGCCCTTTGTAATCTCTGTTACAATATTTTATGGATAGTAAATACATAGGGAATGTATAATATTCCCTTTAAAGCTTAGTTCTGTTAGTATTCATTCTGCAAAAATATTTTACATAATTATACTTGACCCTCATTTCCAGCTCATGATTCAGCTGTTGGAAAGTTATTATATGAGAATTGGAGATGAGTTTTCCTTGGTCATTTATCAGGGCACATGAGGGGAAGCTGTACCTGCATAGGCTCCACAAATTCAACATAACCTAGGTTAAATAGTAACTTTCCTACAGACTCATTCCTCCTTTGGTTTCTTTGTTTTGGAGTGTCATCACCTAGTGACAAACCAAAACCCTGCGAATGGTCCTCATACTCGTCTTTCTCCTGGTCCCTTGTGTCAGACTTGTTACCCAGTGCTGGAGATTAGTTTCCCTTCAGAACTCTCAATTTCTTTCTTTCTTTTTTTTTTAAATTTTTTTTTCAGTGTTTTATTTATTTGTAGGAGAGAGAGACAGCGTGAGCAGGGGAGGGTCAGAGAGAGAGGGAGACACAGAATCTGAAACAGGCTCCAGGCTCTGAGCTGGCAGTCAGCACAGAGCCCGATGCAGGGCTCGAACCCACGAACTGCAAGATCCTGACCTAAGCGAAAGTCAGACGCTTAACCGACTAAGCCACCCAGGTGCCCTCAGAACTTTCAATTTCTTATTCTTCTCTGCCCCTTTCTTTCCATCCCCGCCACACTGCCTTGTGTCCCGTCGTCATCAGCTCTTGCATCAATCCCACAGATGTAGGACTCATTGGTTTTCCAGTTCTGTCTTGTGAGAGTATTTTTATAGAAGCTGCTCTGTGGCTCCCTGCTTTCCTTCAATGATGGCAGTCCCATTTTAATTTTTCATACAATAGGCTTTTGTGGATTTCACTGATCTCCTTATATCACCCTCTACCCACCCCACCACCCCCAAGCCTTCCACCTTGTACCCGGTTGGTCTTTTGAAATGCAGATCTAATCACATGCTGTCTTCTACCATAACCTTCATTGGTCCCCACAATGCAAGGTAGGAGTCATAAACTCAAATGCCTTCTTGGATGAGAAAGGTGACCTAAAAGGATGATGTGAGCTGGCTGTAAGAGAAATGGGGGGAGAGAGGAAGTGTCATAGCAAGTTGCCCCGTCTGAGTGGGGTACCTGCTTCTCGCACCCATGTGGGCATGTGGGCCCAATCTGTTCATGTTGTCCAACTAGTTGAAAGAAACCAGATCCATATTTTATGATAAAGTTTCAGGTTTTTAAATATTGGCCTTTGATTGAATTTTGAAAATGCAGACCAATATTGTGTGTACTGACCTACTTGCAGTTTTTGGAATATGCCATTTTATTTTACGACTCTCTGTTTGTAAAGGATGTTCCCGGTTAAGTGCAGATCCTTCCCTCTTCCTGCCTCGGCAACCTGGCAAAACCAGATTCTTTAAAATGCTAGGTTAGTCTTTCCTGACCTCAAGAGAGGCGGTTCTCTTAGCGTTCTCTAAGTTCATGCATAGCACTTCCTTTGCAGGGCTTTCTGCTCTTACTCCCTAGCTTTGAGCAAAAACAAAACCGTAATTTCTTGTTTTTGGACACTTGGCAGTTAAGAAATATTTTTTTAGGGGCTCCTGGGTGGCTCAGTCGGTTAAGCGTCCAACTTTGGCTCAGGTCATGATCTCCTGGTTCGTGGGTTTGAGCCCCATGTCGGGCTCTGTGCTGACAGCTCAGAACCTGGAGCCTGTTTCAGATTCTGTATCTCCCTCTCTCTCTCACGCTGTCTCTCTCTCTCTCAGAAATAAATAAAACATTAAAAAAATATTTTTAAATCATATCTTTGTGTTTGAATCCATGGAATCAGTATGACATTGGTCTTCATTGTTCTTTTTTGTCTCCACGTATCTATTTTTAATTTTCAAAAGGTCTTTTCATTCCCTAAGGAATGTGTTATTGAACATAAACATCTTTTTGGTGCTTCATTTGGAATCATCATGGTCTAATATGAACTGTTTAAGACTTATGCTCATGATACTGATTCCTCCCATCAAAGAATTAAGTCGCTTCCTCACCTATGGGTTCCTTGATTTCTCTCGTGATAATTTGTTCTTGGTTTTATCTAGGCCTTATGTATCCTTTATTACATTAATTTTGTCTTAGCTAAATACATCTGTATTGCTACTCAGTATGGGAATCCCTATCATTAGAATGCTATTAATTTTTAAAATTTTTGTCTTTTGTTGAATTATCTTTGTTCTAACAGTGTTAGGTGGCCTTTTCTTTTCTTCCAAATATAAAACCATAGCTGCAAAAGTATTTGTCTTTTCTTATCTATTTCTATTTTGTTTTGTGTTAAATAAAATTGTGTTAAAATATAAATTTTGATATTCATTAAATATGAAGTTTATTGTTGGCTTTAAACAAATGTTCTCTATTTAATAAGGGAAATTACATTTATTGTTAGAAGTTTTTAGTAAGAATTGGTATCTTTGTATAATCACATAATTTTTACCATTTAACCACCTAATATGATTATATTACTGGTTTTACTATATTAAGACCTCCTGAAATTCTGAGTAACTCTACTTAGTTATGGTATATGTTCCTTTAATGTATTTCTTTTCACTGCTTGGTAATTTTAATTATAATTATATACATCTATACATTCATAAATAAAATTCATTTATATTTTATATGTGTATGTAGTAATTTCCTTTTTATTTTTATTGCTGTATGCTCAAAGTATACATGTTATTCTAAGTGCTGTTATGAGTTTTAGAAATTGATTCAGAATGTCATTAATATTTAAAAAAATTTTTTTCCCAGCCTTATTGAGATATTATTGACATATAACATTGTATAAGTTTAAGGTATATAAGGTGATAATTTGATACATGAATATAATTGTGAAATGATTACCACACTAAGGTTAGTTACAGCCATCGCCTCATATTCATTATTATTTTATTTTATTTATTTATTTTTTTAAAGGACCCATTTGTATTCTTTTTTTTTTTAATTTTTTTTAATGTTTTATTTATTTCTAGGAGAGAGAGAGAGACAGCGTGAGCAGGGGAGGGTCAGAGAGAGAGGGAGTCACAGACTGAAACAGGCTCCAGGCTCTGAGCTGGCAGTCAACACAGAGCCTGACGCGGGGCTCGAACCCATGAACTGCGAGATCATGACCTAAGCGAAAGTCGGACGCTTAACCGACTAAGCCACCCAGGCGCCCCTCATTATTATTTTAAAAATAATGTATTACTCTATCATTGAATTTCTCTATTCTTATTTAGGAATATTTTTCCAAGAGATTTATTAGAAAATATAGTATTATTTTATTGTGGAAATTTGGGAGGATACAGGAATGTATTCAGAAGGAAGTAATAATCACCTATAATACCATTGTGTACTACTGTTCTAAGTTCCTTAGATATACTACCTTGTTTAATTATCAAAACAGAGGTTAGTTAAATCAGTACTGCCCTCCCCCAGGCAAGAGAGGACCCTGCCTTGGACCTCTGCTTTAAAAGGTTTCCCTGCTCATGATTTACACCACTCAGGCCCCATGGAAATGCTTCTCCACATCTCTTACCCTACGTCCTCAACACAAAATATGATTGCTTCTGAACTCTGTACAGGTCTGTGGGTTGAACCACTGTCATCACTGGAAAGAGTAGTTTTAGACTTCATGGAGGGCTTCTGTGGTGAAACGTGTGGGGAAGCAAAAACAAATCCACTTGTCAAGGCCTGCCTTTCAGATCACATGGGTACTCTAGATTCTTGCCAAATGAAATCTCTTCCTCAGTGGTTTCCAGTGTCCATTTCCCTTCCTCTTTGTCTTCTAATCAGTAGCTCTGGGCATACCCACAGATTGTACAGTATTTACTGCAAGCACACATGGCATCTGGGGAACATTTTTGCACTACTAAACAATTCACATTGCTCAATATTTATAGAAGCAGTTTTCCATGTAATGTGAGAGGCAGAATTCAATTCCTTCCATTACCAAGTACGTGCACATTGAATGTGCTATTGAATATATGGTTTTATATCTTGTTTTTTACAAAAATATTCTTGATTTACTTAAATTTTTAAAAAATTCAGGGTGCTTGGATGGCTCAGCTGATTGAACATCCAACTCTTGACTTTGGCTCAGGTCGTGATCTGATGGTTTTTGGGATTGAGTACCTTGTCGTTGGGCTCCAAGCTGACAGCATGGAGCCTGCTTGGGCTTCTCTCTCTCTCCCCTTTCTCTGTCTCTCCCTCCATCCCCCACATGTGCACTTTCTCCTTCCTTCAAAATAAATAAATAAACTTTAAAAAATTTTTAAAAATACTATTGATTTACATAAATTTTCAAAAACTTAAATGTGGAAATGCACTTCAGCTCAGGATGTAGGAAGTTACAAGAAGAACTAGATAACTTACAAAATTGTAACTTTTCTCAAGCCTGGTCATAAGTCAAGAGTAAGAGACTGGTCATAAGACTCAGCAAAACTAAAAGGCAACCGATAGAATGGAAGAAGATATTTGCAAGCAACATGTCAGATAAAGGGTTAGTATCCAAAATCTATAGAGAACTTCTCAAACTCATCACCCAAAAAACAAACCATCTAGTGAAGAAATGGGCAAAAGACATGAATAGACACTTCTCCAAAGAAGACATCCAGATGGGCAACCAATACATGAAAAAATGCTCAACATCACTCATCATCAGGGAAATACAAATCAAAACCACCTCACACTGATCAGAATGGCTAAAATTAACAACTCAGGCAACAACAGATGTTGGTGAGGATGTGGAGAAAGAGGATCTCTTCTGCACTGCTATTGGGAATGTCAACTGGTATAGCCACTCTGGAAAACAGTATGGAGGTTCCTCAAAAAATTAAAAATAGAACTACCCTACAACTCAGCAATTGCACTACTAGGTATTTATCCAAGGGATACAGGAGTGCTGTTTTGAAGGGGCACCTGCACCCCAACGTTTATAACAGCACTATTGACAATAGCCAAAGTATGGAAAGAACCCAAATGTCCATTGATGGGTGAATGGATAAAGAAGATGTGGTATGTATATATATATATACATACACACAATGGAGTGTTACTCAACAATCAAAAAAAAGAAATCTTGTCATGTCCAACTACGTGGATAGAACTAGAAGGTATCATGCTAAGTGAAATTAATCGGAGAAAGACAAATCTCATATGATGTCACTCATATGAGGACTTTAAGATACAAAACAGATGAACATAAGGGAAGGGAAGAAAAACCATATAAAACAGGGAGGGGGACAAAACATAAGAGACTCTTAAATATAGAGAACAAACAGGGTTGCTGGAAGGGCTGTGGGAGGGGGGTGGGTAGGGAGCATCCATTAAGGAATCTCCTGAAATCATTGTTGCACCATATGCTAACTAACTTGGATGTAAATTTAAAAACAAATAAATTATTAATTAAAAAAAAAGACTGGGGGCGCCTGGGTGGCTTAGTCGGT